GGGAAATGTAAAACCTGATTGTGAAAAGCTCCCCACAGGTATGTGTATAAAGCTACAGAAAGGAATTCCAAAAACACCAACAATAAAATGTATGTATAAAGCTACAGAAAGCAACTCCAAATAGACCAACAATAAAATGTGTATAAAGCTTCAGAAAGCAACTTTAAAAAGACCAACAATAAAATGTATATATAATCCTACAGAAAGGAACTTCAAAAAGACACAAATAGAACACTACAAAAAACAATTCCAAGAGAGTCAACAGTAAATTCCACATAGAAAGATAAAAGCAGGACATCCAACAGAAGCAACAAAAAAATAATTCCATGTACATTAAAAGCAGCAATTCCAAGAAGATCATGCCAATAATAGATTCCACACAGAAAGCTACAAGAATAAACTCCAAGAGGGCCAACAATGAACTGTACATAGAAAGATATAAAACAAAATTCCAATAAAACTAACAATAAATGACATGAATTACACAAAGAAGGAATTCCACATAAAATCTGAAGGGAACCTAAAAGAGACTCCTTAGACAAAGCCAGAAACTGCCATGACTGAAAGGGCACGCATGATTGGTGGGACAGGGATTTGAACATACAACTTGCAGATTGCAAGTCTAGCACCCTAACCACCTGGCCAGTAATGTGGAGTTGGACCTATATATCATGGAATTAAAACAGGTGGTAACATGTGAAGTTGGATCTATTTACCATGGAACTGAAACAGGTGGTAACATGTAAATAAAAACAGAGTAGTAGTTCCTGCATCAAAGACCTAGTAATAAGAGGCTGGTCATTCAGAAACATAAGTGAACACAGCCAATGTAAAGACATCAAGGATGATCTGTGGGAGTGGCATCCTTTACTCCACATAAACAAAACATACATTCAGCTAAGCAATAGCTGAAGTTTAGATGTAAGGAAAGCCTCTGGGTTATGTGGACTTTTAACACGAGAAAGGCCAGGCATGAGAAAGAGAAGGTCATATGTGCTGCATTTGATTGTTAATTCTAAGTATCTCAAAGTAACTCAAAAGATTATACGGTAAATACATAACAGGTTTATCAAATAAAAACTACAATAATGATATACACCATCATAAGATTGATACATGCATTTCACAATGATTTGATATAATGTGAAAAAATAATGTTTAAATTAAGTTTTTCATGAAAATCACTAAAAATACAGTAAAATCAGTAGTTGACATTAATCAAACATTTTAGAGCAATCAGCTATAATTAAGTAAGATGCTAATTTAATTTTAATCAAAAGTATTTCATAATAAATAGTCATAATACAATACAGCTTTAATTGCATGTACTTCATTAAGAGAAAATGTGTCTGTAAACAACCTGTTGAAACTTATCAGCACACTGTATGACTATGGTGTATATTACTTAACATCAAAGTATAGAACTATTTCTGAAACCCATATAATTCTATATAGCACTTCTCAACCAAACCTTCAACACCTTCATTAATACACCTGTCATCGTCCACCAGAACAAAGAAGTTGTCCATTTCACATGCCTGGTTAGGAAGACATTGGGGGAGGAAGGTTTGTGCCCATTGAGGAACCACTGGTGCTGCTAGATTGTCAGATTTAACATTATCTAGACTATATCTCTTTCTATCATACAGCACAGGAACTGTAAGGTTTTTAAAGTTTATTCCACCAATTCTCTGTGGGGGTACCATACCTGATGAAGAGATTGGATAAAACAAGTTGGTATTTGTAAGGAAATTACTAGATATACCTGTCTGAGAAACATCAGCAGGTGTAGAGATGTTTTCTTGGGTTTTCTCACTAGGGGAAGAAATAGAAGTGGTTTCTAACTGTGCAGGGTCACTAGGTTTGGAAGGAGTGGTAGTTATCTGAGGACTAGGAGTTGGTGGAGGTTCGAGAATGTCTCGATACTTAGACACCATCAATACGGATATAAAGTAAACTACAGCCAAGGCTATGAACTGGGCTTGTTTAGTCTCATCCTAGAAAAAAAAAAAAGTATAAAAATTACTTTCAACAAAAACAATACTTAACATTTTGTAACCTATTTCAACTAATCAGAACCTGTGATAAGCTTTCCACAATCAGGTTTGATGTGTCAGATTTCCCTTAAAATACAACAATATAACTAAACCAAACACGTGATCAACTACTCTACAATCAGGTTTTACATTTCCCTGAAACAATTACAATATAACTAAACATGCACATTTTATTGTTGGTGTTTTTAGAATTTCGTTCTGTAGCTTTATACACATAGTTTATGGTTGGTGTTTTTGGAATTTCGTTCTGTAGCTTTATACACACATTTTATTGTTGGTGTTTTTGGAGTTCCTTTCTGTAGCTTTATACAACATTTTATTGTTGGTGTTTTTGGAACTCCTTTCTGTAGCTTTATACACACATTTTATTGTTGGTGTTTTTGGAGTTCCTTTCTGTAGCTTTATACATACATTTTATTGTTGGTGTTTTTTCCTTTCTGTAGCTTTATACATACATTTTATTGTTGGTGTTTTTGGAACTCCTTTCTGTAGCTTTATACACATAGTTTATGGTTGGTCTTTTTGGAATTTCTTTCTGTAGCTTTATACACATGGTTTATGGTTGGTCTTTTTGGAATTTCGTTCTGTAGCTTTATACACATAGTTTATGGTTGGTGTTTTTGGAATTTCGTTCTGTAGCTTTATACACACATTTTATTGTTGGTGTTTTTGGAATTTCGTTCTGTAGCTTTATACACACATTTTATTGTTGGTCTTTTTGGAGTTCCTTTCTGTAGCTTTATACACATAGTTTATGGTTGGTCTTTTGGAGTTCCTTTCTGTAGCTTTATACATACATTTTATTGTTGGTGTTTTTTGGAACTCCTTTCTGTAGCTTTATACACATAGTTTATGGTTGGTCTTTTTGGAATTTCTTTCTGTAGCTTTATACACACATTTTATTGTTGGTGTTTTTAGAATTTCGTTCTGTAGCTTTATACACATAGTTTATGGTTGGTGTTTTTGGAGTTCCTTTCTGTAGCTTTATACACATAGTTTATGGTTGGTGTTTTTGGAGTTCCTTTCTGTAGCTTTATAC